GGGGCCGGGGGGGTGTCCCTGGGTGCAGGCAGGGGGGTGCCACCCCTAAGCGCTGCCCACCGTACCCCGCAGAAGCAGGATGTGGACGATGACACGGAGGAGCTGGAGATCGCCGTCGATAACACGGCGTTCATGGATGAGTTCTTCTCGGAGGTGAGGGGGGACCGGGCGCGGGGTCCTGGGGTGCAGGGTGGCCTCCTGACTGTCCCCTTCCTTGTCCCCCACCGGTCATCCTCCCCACCTTGTCCAGATCGAGGAGACACGGCAAAACATTGACAAGATCTCGGAGAATGTGGAGGAGGCCAAGAAGCTCTACAGCATCATCCTCTCGGCCCCCATCCCTGAGCAGAGTGAGCGCGGTGGCCGTGTCCCTTCCCTCCCCGTGTCCCCTTCCCGGGGATGTTCCCACGGTGGCTTCCCCATCTCACGTGCCATGACCCCGCAGAGACCAAAGATGACCTGGAGCAGTTGACAGCGGAGATCAAGAAAATGGCCAACAGCGTCCGCAACAAGCTGAAGAGTGAGTGACCGTGTCCCTGCCGGTGGCTCACCCGACCTCACAAGTCCCCCTGTCCCCACCTGGGGACACTGGGACCATGGGGTCTGGCAGGTGGGGAAGGTCCCTGATGGTTTGGGGTCCGTCTCTCGCCAGGCATGGAGAGGAACATCGAGCAGGACGAGGCACGGTCCTCCGCCGACCTCCGGATACGCAAGTCCCAGGTGAGCTTTGGTCCCCGGCACCGGCTGCCGGGGCTGTCCCCTCCCAGTGCCCCCAGGGCCTGAGCACCCTGTCCCACACCGTCACCCACAGGATGGAGATGTGGCACGTCCCGGTTGTCCCCAGGTCTTCCATCTCCGTTCCCTGTCCCCAGCAGCACCCTGTCCCAGCCCCACCACCTCTGGGTGCTCCCAGGCTTCGTGTCCCTCTCCCCCATCCCCGACACTCTGTCCTGTCCCCCACAGCGGTGGGACATGCCATCTCCTGGGTCCCCTGGGTTTCATGCCCCCATCCCCAGCACCTCATCCTGCCCTATCTTTCCTGGGGCTGGGGACACGCCATGCCCAGAGTGTCACTGGTCCGACTCCCCATCCCCATCTTGTCCCCTGGGATGGGGCTGTGCCATGCCGGGGGTGTCCCAAGTGTCACACCCTTGCTCCTGGCCCCCGGGGCTGGCATGTGCGTTGCCTGGGGTGTCCCTGTCCCCAGATGTTGGCCCTGTCCCCTGGGGCTGGGATGTTGTCCCCACTCCCGCGCCCCTCTCCTTGGCCCTGTCTCCTGGGAAAATGGCCCACGGGGACATTCCATGCCTGGGGTGTCCCATGTCCCCATCCCTGTTCCCAGCACCTGGTCTTGTCCCCTGGGGTTGGGACATGCCATGCTGAGAGTGTCCCCAGTCCCATGTCCCTGTCCCAATAGCACACCATCATTGACCCCAGTGGCCATGCGGAGGTGTCATGCCTGGGGTGTCCCCAACCCCACATCCTTGTCCCCGTCCCCAGCACTGAGTCCTGTCCTCCTGGGGGCCGGAGAGGTGCCATGCCCGGGGTGTCCCCAACCCCATGTCCTTGTCCCCGTCCCCAGCACTGGGTCCTGTCCCCCTGGGGCTGGAGAGGTGCCATGCCCGTGCCCGGGGTGTCCCCAACCCCATGTCCTTGTCCCCGTCCCCAGCACTCAGTCCTGTCCCGCAAATTCGTTGACGTCATGACCAAGTACAACGAGGCGCAGGTCGACTTCCGGGAGCGCAGCAAGGGCCGGATCCAGCGCCAGCTTGAAATCAGTGCGTGACACCCCTCTCCGTACCCCCTCAGGCCCCGCCCCTCTGGGGGGGAATGGGCGGGGTCTCATCCTCCCGACCCCGCCCCATTGATGG